AGAAAAAGACTGGCACCTACCGAACCCCACGAGAGATTTGCAAAAGAGGATCACATCTACAAAGACTAATTAAGATAACTCTATCAAGTAGCAAACCACTACTCACAGCAGCTAAAGCGAAACCACAAACACAAACATCACTCGAAACGCCGCGCCTTCCCTTCTGATTGGGCCAGTGGCAATAAGAATAGATACGGGGTTTTGATTGTTGGGCACAACACTATGGTCATCGCCATTCCATATATCTTGGTTCGATAGGACGACAATATCTTCTACAGTAAAATATACAGCCTGTTGAGGAGCCGTATTGATCAAAATCTTTTGATTGAGCTCCTAATTAATCTACTTGATCCTAGCAAAGTACGGAGTAGTGGCCTGTGCTGCTATATACATCTATCAGAAGTTTGCTGAAGTCTATATCTACACCACAAAGGGTGCATCTTTTCCCCAAAGATAACGTGGAACTCGTACTGCATCTTTAAAATGAGTAGTCAGTAGCTTTGGACATCAGTACCTGCAGAAAAAAGTATGAAATAATAAGTTACAAACACATAATAGTTATTGCTTGCATCATACTCTGATGACCTATTAAAGCAAAAATAATAAGTTACAAACACAGAATTTCTATTGGTTGGATCTTATTTCAAAGGTTATATTTTTTTCGCGACCAGGGGAATATAGCCCGTTTATCATTAAGAAGAAGAGAATTATACGACGCAGCTACGAGAGAACCCTCGTAGCACATATTACAAATCACGAAGGTAGTGGTGAGTGACCTGGAATACAACTTATAACAACATAAAAAAAAAGGAGAAAAGAAAAAGTGACCGCCCTCAAAACCCGAAACCTACAAACTGAAACCTACAAACTGAGCCTGTAAAAATAGGATACAACAGCGCAATAGTTGCCTCCAAACAAGACAATGCCACGGTGGCAAAGTATCCACCCAAATCAGCAACAGCGGCAAAGCATCCGCCAACGAAAACCACGGCGGCCAAGTATCCGCCAAAACGCCCACTGCAGCAAAGCATCCGCAGGGGGGAGCGGCCATAACACACTCGGCAGCAAAGCATCTGCCAGAGCGGAGGCCAACGACAACGACAGCAAAGCATCCACCAGAAGAACGATAGCGGCAAAGCATCCGCTATGAGAGCTAGACGACGACAGCAAAGTCGATTGCTGCAGGCGAAACCATTGCGAGTAGAACATAGGCACATATAGGCACAGTGAGGAACTCCACCACGAGCCGACGACACGGAAGGAGGCAGTGATGTCGGCGATCACACGGGGACGAGCCAAAGGGATTCTTCAACGACGCCTTCAGGAAGGGGGTGACACCCAAGGTGATCACCGTGGACGCCATCGCCACTGGCCTTATAGCATGTAAGGCGGGGCTTGCGCCCAGGATCCGAGGCCATCGGCAGGAAACATGGGGTTCAACAACGACGCCCCCTAAGGAGGTATGTGGCGCCCGAGTCGTCACCGTCGTCCGCCCGGCTAAAGCCGAGTTGAGCTTTCGCCTAGAACTCCACGCATCCAAGGATGGCCAGGGCCGCAGATCTGGCCACCAGCAACCTTGGGCTTGAGCCAACCGACCCCCACCGGCTGCTGGTCCGGGAGCAAGCCGGCCGGCCACCAACAGGTCCCGGTCGCCTCGCCCCGGGCCCAGGCGATGCGCGGAAGGCCAGCCACCGCTGCCTCGTGAGACGTGGGCGCCGGATCCAACCGCAACCGGCCAGAGGACGGGCGTGGCCGCCGGATCCAGCCACCACTGGCCAAGGGGCAGGCGCGACCGGCGGATCCAGCCGCCTCCGGGCAGGGGGTGGTCGTTGACGCCAGATCCGGCCACCACAAGCCAGGGGGCGCGCGCACCTGCCGGATCTGCCAGATCCCGCCGCCATCAGGCAGAGGACGCGGCCGCTGGCCTTCCAGGCCGCCCGCTGGCAGCGCAGGGCTAGCCAGGCCGGGCGCCAAACCGGCCACCAGCACGAGGGTACTGCCGCTGGCCCTCCACGCCAGTCACCTCCACAGAAGCCGGCAGATCGACGCCAAGAAACGCCGCCGGTTGAGGGGAAGCTCGGGGAGGGCGAAGCGAGGGGGAAAGAGGGAGCGGGGGGAGAGGAAACTACAGCCGCTGCCTTGTTGAGCAACGCCACCACGGGCCGCCGCCACCGCAAGTCGGAGGGAGCGATGACGGCGGCCAGAGGGCTGGCCGCTGGCCCCGAGGGGCCCCTAGGGGGTGGCGGCGGACACGGATTCAGTACCGTAGCTTCTTCAAGGCACCACGTACCTTAGCTGCCTCTCTCCACCGTAGAGTTGCCATCCAACGGCTGCCAGACACAGGTGATCAGGTTCCCATTTTCATCAGGCGGGAGATTTTCACGGCGTCACGCGCACAGACGCGACTTTCCCGCGTAGAGCCATTCCCTCACGCCGAGGATGCTGCGCCGCGCGCCCCTCCGCAAAAGGGTAGCAAAAAGAAGAATAAGAGCATGTTCAAAAGTTTTGTAAAATAACTCCCTAGCTTCATTAAAAAAAAAAGGTGCCCTCCAACAGTTTGATAAAAGGGCATGTTAAAAAAATTAAAAGTTGTTAAATATCATCTTCAACTCATAAGTTTATACATTCGAGAGGAACTCCGTATCCGCTCCCCGTCCGGCGTTTTTCTCGAGCCCGTCCTGTGTTTTTCTTGGAAGACCAGAGTAAATTATACGCATGAGTAAATTAAGAAAATAATGGATTCTAGATGAGAACGCGATGAGACACAAATAAATTATTAAAAAGGTTTGGTTTGGTAAAAATAGTTCCGGGTTCCCAATGTAAAGTCGTTTAGAAAACTATTACAAGAGGTTTCCAATGTAAAATCATTTAGGATATTATTACAACAGACTGTTGGAGAAGGGAAAATTTTAAAGTTGCTATTTCATCTATTACTTTGCTAGATCTATTAGTTTAGCAAGTAAGCTATATCAAAATTGTTAGTACTCATAAATTGTGGAAGAGTATGCAGGAGTAGTATTAGCAGCAGTTAAAAATATATAATTTGGGAGTACAACTCCCTCTTTCTTCGTTAAATAAATTTGTATTTGTGAACATTGTGCTGCTGCTGCTTGACTACTTGTGAGAAAGAAGCTTTGCAGCCTTTCTTGGCCCTTGGATGCATGCTGTATGGTAGAGATGAGGAGCTAAGGTACGTGGTGCCTTGAAGAAGCTAAGGCACTGAATCTGTGTCCGGTGGCGGCGGGAGGCCCCCCGAGTCACCTCAGAGACGACGCAGGGGTGGGTCTTGATGACTTTTTGAGAAGTTATCTTATGCAACTCAGGGCGTGTTTAGTTCCGAAATTTTTTGGCTTTTGGCTACTGTAGCACTTTCGTTTGTATTTGACAAAAATTGTCCAATTATGAACTATTTAGGCTTAAAAGATTCGTCTCACGATTTCTCGGCCAACTGTGTAATTAGTTTTTTTTCGTCTACATTTAGTACTCCATGCATGTGCCGCAAGATTCGATGTGACCGGTACTATGCAAAAAAAATTGGGTTTTGGAGACATCTAAACAGGGCCTCAAAGGCTATATTCAAGTAGCACAATAAGGGCACCTGAAGTCTAGATGGTTGGGAGCATATTGTCCAGGGAATCCAGAAAACTTTTCAGAAGCCACCCAGTATATGTGCATGTTCATATATTTTGTATCAAAGAATAAAATTGAATGAGATCTGAATATTTAGAGCTGAAAAAATATTAGTGAAAAGTGAAAACGACAAAGTTGGTTTGGTGATTTGTGTAAAAGATGAAACTGAGATATCAATTATGATAGTTCAAAATTGAAAAACCAGATGTTACACAATTTTTTTGGTGGCAGTGATGGTCATAGGGAAAAACAGAACTCTGTCTGATTTTAACAAAGCTACAAAAAAATTTAGGAGGACCCACGTCTCAAGACTGTACCATATATGGATTTTTTAGTACTCAAGCCATAAGGTGCAAGCTTAGCATGTGCATAAGAATACCAAAGCAAAACATACAAATCTAAACAGAGAAGGCATTAACTTAGCTTGAAGCTGTGTAAAAGATAGGAAGGCTTGCCATATGAACTGATAGCACAAATCTTTTGATAATAAAGTATTGTTGTAGTTGGCATAAGTGCAAAAAATAGTCTTCCATATATGTTCCCAGCACTTGATAGTGGAGAGAATCACCAATAAAGGTAAAGTGGTGTTGTTACTGACAACGAAAGAATGAACTATATCAAACTGAACCCAAACTGGAGCTGATGAATTCGAGAAATAATTTAGAGAAGCAAGGAGTTGTTGGCCAGCAGCGTTGGAATTTCCAGTTAGAACTTTCAGTTAATACTTAATATACTTTGCCCCTCAAATGTATTAGATTAGTAAATGGTCTATAAACTTGATTAAACTAAGCCGGAATGCAGTATACAATCAATGTCATAGTATTGAGGTATTGAGTTCTGCAACTTGAAAATAGGTTAAACATTATGTAGACATTTCAGCAGTGCCCACTTTGAAGGTCATTACAAATCAAACCATAGTACTAAACCAAGTATGAATTGCAGGAATTGGACTGAGATTTTATAATTGGTAAATTAAAAAGTGCTTACCTGACATTACTCACACTCTATTCAACTCACCATCTACCACGGTAGATAGTCAAACTTTAGGAATAAAGATAAAAAATATCAGATTGACAAATTGAGATTGCAAGTTAACATGTTTAGTTTACAAACTATTTCAGAGATACAAATATTAAAGATGAATTGAGATGGATGTTGGATCAGGTAAAATCATTTTATATACCTTGCGAGATGTTTCCCCTACTTCGATAATTTTAACACTAAGGGAAGAAGCATTTCGTCAGCTAAGCAAAATCAACTATACTCATGGATTCCAATCAGGAAGATACATCTCCTATCTTTCGAGCCAACACCAAGGTTCGATTTTTTAGATTCATGTAAGCGTGAAAGTACTTACACTCCCGATTTGATCACTGGCTTTGCTTGTAGCTGTGGCCCAGGACTGTTGGTGCATCCCTGTGTGATGTGGCTAACCAGCAGCATGTTGCTGCGGCCCAGCGGTGGTGGTGGAGAGACAACAGTGTGCCTCCTCCATGCGTGCGACGTCCGTCCGGCCCCGCTGCATTTGGTCCACTGGCGCACGGCATGCAGGCATTGCTCCAGTCGCACGAGTGCCTTTTGCCGCCGTCGACGCCTCCCATGTGCTCCCACCTGCAAGCAATACCCCATGCTCAATTTCAGCCACCAGCTGTGACGCTTCACCGCCCGAATCCGATCAATGGCTAGCCCCTGCACTCAGATCTGTGTGCTATCCATGGGTTATCAGTGATTGCTAGTATAATAGGCAGTCGCTTCGCTCCTTTATAATAGGTGCCCTCCTTGGAGCACCTATTCTAGATTGGGCTAGTATAACCAGCAGTTGTCTCCGTGTTTAGAACTTGCAAAGCCACATTTCGTGTGGTGTATGTAAGAACTCAACTGTACAAGCTATTTTGACAATAAGGGCACTAACAGAAATACTCCTCAAAGAACGCATGTATTTACTATGAAATTTGAATTCACATTCTTTGGCAACGGAAGGTTTTCATAATGGGTAAACTGATACATTATAAATTATATCCTCCAAGGCAACAGGTATGGAATATAAAATTTACTGAAAACACGCTAATATCTAGGAATACGAAGAAACAGTAAATTGATCAGGCCAATACAAACCATTTATGTCTGTCTATTCACAGTTGCTTGACGAAATGCCTCGAAGGCTAGCTGTTCACTGAAGCAACACTATTCAACAAAGATTATTGCTGCTGCAAGTCATCTTCTCTGTAAGTAGTGTGTCGTTTGATGAAGTTCTCTCGGAATATTTTTTCCCCAAAAATCTGATATGCAGGTGCATGCATCCTGTGTGGAACATGTCTGCTGTTCATTATAATCCTTGTAATAATACAATCCTGGGATTTGAGAAAATATAGAGTAAAAAGTTTAATGGGAAACAATCCATTTAAATGAAGGCTACATGTCTGAAAACTTGAGAACTAACCCACGGAGTAACAAATTGTTTTGCATATTAAGGCATTGGCTTATGAGCAAAGAAGCAAACCAATTGTCGATTCAGTGGGCAAGCAAACAAAATATTGCTGCTATTCTAAACTCTAAAGCGAGTGTGAGTGAACTCAAATTGCCAAGATCACACTGAATTTGGTTCCAGAGTCATGGTTGGCATTTTATCGAACACTTGCAAGCAATCATTTCATAGGCCAGAGCAGTAGAAGCGAAGGAGCAGCAGTGGCAAAGACGAACCTTGGGGGAGCTTACACCTGCGGTTGATAGTCGACGGCTGCTAGATGGGCTTCGTCGCAGTCTTGCTCCACCGGCTGGCCACGCCAGCCCAATGGAGCCCCCATCGTCGCGCTCCCTGCAGTCTACTGTGACCGCCAGAAGAAACCATCGTACCTGTTGCTTGACACACATGAGTACAACCTGGCGCGAGCGCACGGCGCAGCGGTCTCGGCCACCATGGCGCGGGCGGGGGCCGCGGGCGTGGCCGCCTCGGGAGCCCCGGCGGCTCCCCTTCCCCTCCCACGGTGTCCCAGGCGGGTGAGTGCTCGGCCCTCGGCTCCAGGGCACGTGCGCGGCCAGCCCCCGGGATCACTCGACTTCTTCGTCGGACGACGCGACTGGGAGGAGAGGGCGGGGCGGTCGTCTCCCGTGGTTGCAAAGCAGGGACCGGCACCTTCTCGAACTTGCCAGGAGGGGATGAGCTCCGCCCGGTTTCACGGTTTAATGGGTCACGGACCCGCTAACATTCGCATCCAACGGTTCCGGCGACTAGCTGACCAGCGGTAAACGATCGTAAATTACCAGCCGAAGCAGTATTTTTCTCTCACACAAACTAGTCAACAATACTTCTTTATGAACCAGCAACGATACGAACCAGCCAACCGAACAAGATGTCGAAGACAAGCTAGGCGGCAATGCCCATCTCTTAGACCACCCACAAAGTTCTCCATGTCAGAAAAATTCAATGTGCATGCTACTGCCCCGATGCTTGGAACTCCTCAATGTTCATCATCGAGGGTGGGTCAAGCTCGTTAGAGAACCACCATTCATTCGTACCCGTGATTGAGTGACCACCAGCCGGTTCATAACTCATTTTTTAACTGGCAAGCATCGAGTCATCTACTTTCAGGATCTACTTTTACACCATCTACGTAAAACACTTCGCAACGTGCATATGAACCACTTGAAATATACGCTTGCAACACATGCTTGCAACATCCGAAGAAGGAAGGGAGCGTGAGGTGCAGTCGGAGAAGCCCGCTCCAGGTCTAGCCACTCCGGATCTCGTGATGTCGCGAGCTGAGGTCGAGCGCCACGCGGCACCGGCGTCGACGGCGACCACGACCTCTCGGTGGGGAACGACGACATCGGCTGCACCTCGACGCAGCGAGGGACGGAGCACGGCGCGACGAGGCAGAGTGGGCGTGGTGGGGGATGGAGCACGGCGCGGCGCCACAATGCTAGAAAATTTTGAAGTTGGCGTCGGCCCTGCAATATGATGACCCGAGGCTCAAACGCTCTCTTATTTCGTCATCGATATTTTTCTTACATTGTGGCAGTCTTTGCCGGGGGTTCTTTTCTGACACAGCACGGCCCAAAATCACAACACTATTGGTTCTTGGCGTAGTACGTGCCATGTCACCAAGTTCTAAGGAGCTACCACAATAGTATAAAAGGAAAATTGGTTTCCTTAAGATTACGGTTATTTCCTCTTCTCTTGCTACGAGTTGTATACTAATTGTACTACTTTTGTCCCATTTCAAACATTTTTTAAAACCGGGTTTCTTTGATCCCTTTTTGGGCTTTGGAGGGGATCGTGCAGCGCGCGCAGGGAGGCGTGGGCCGGGGGCATGACCAGGGTCGTGGCGCCGCTGGCTTCGGCGCTGGGTGCTGCCGTGCTCGCATGACGGTGATGTGGCCCGGCAGGCGCTAGGCCCACTGGCCCACGGGGGGCGTGTGGGATGTGGTGCGTGGCAGCGGCGGAGCTCTGCGTGGACACCGCCAAGGCCGCGTGCGAGGGTGCTGGGCGGGCCGTGCGTTGTACACATGCTGAGCAGGGATTGTCGTCAGCCCACCAGTGACCGGAGAGTAGAGAATTAGGGAGTGGGCTCTCCTCTTTCCTTCCTCATTCCTCGCTCTTGGCTACCAGTCGCTTTCTTTTCTCTCTCTCTCTCTTTTGGATCTCCTCCGTCCAAAACCCGACGACACGCGCATGCATGCATGTAGATGTACAACCTTTCTCTATTCCATCACTTTTCATTTGAGAAAAATATTTTTTTTGACACAAAATTTGAGAAAAATATTCAATCTCTTTATGAATTTAGACGTGCTTTATACATGGCATTGGTTTTGGTCGATCTCTAGATAAACCGAAGACAGAGAGGGATGGAGGACGGATGCCACATGCCAGCCATGACCGGCTTATATGGAACATGCATGGCACACCGAGGCAAAAGGAAGACAATGGCGGCAAAAGAATTTTGGCTTGAAAATTTGAATGCAGCAGGGAAAAATTTGGAGGCACGGAAGAGAAAGAAACAGATGTGCGGCCGCTGGAGGGCGTGGTGAAAAGGGAAAGAAGGAAATGCGCGCGGGAAAAGAAGGAAAGGTGCGCTGTTGGCTTGGTAACGACGTTTGGAGCGCGGTTAGCAACAGATTTATCCGTAAAACAACCGACGCCGGTTCAATTAAAACAGGACTCCGTTTGGGGGCATGTTCGCTTGTCTGAATTTTAGAGAAATCTAGATGGTTTGAAGGGATACTGGAGAAATTTGTGAGAGAAAAATATTTTTCTGAATAAAAAAATAAACGGATCAAGCCGAGTTTAAGGGCACACAAACATGCCCTTATTGTCTATCGGGACTCCTTGATCACAATATTGGTCCCCATGCCCGAGCCAAATGTGATGGAGATAAATGAACCGAGGGAGTACATTACAGGCCAGCATAGTAATGGATACGGAAGTAGTAATCTGCATATTCATCTTGTAAAAGGATACGGAAGTAGTAATCTGCATATTCATCTTGTAAAACGTAGTTTGGCGGGACTGTCGTTCCGATTGACAGGACTGATGCAGGGCCGTCAGTACAGGGCCGTCAGTGCGCTGAGCCTGATGAACGGTACAGAAGCCACCGCTGGGCTCACCATCTGGCTTCCAAAGACTATCACGTTCGTTTGTTCGTATTTAACTTATAAATCATAGCTTATTAGTCAACGAACAGTATTTTTTCTCACACAAAACCAGCTAACAGTATTTTCAGTCATGGCTTATAAGCCAAACCAGTCCAAACAAACAGGACACATCATGTTCATTCAAATCCAAGCAGCCCATGTTAAGGATTGCTCCCTCTGTGCCTCGGGCAGAGGGAAGGGGGCTTGTGCCCCCTAGGTTTCACATAATCTTCAATATGAATTAGGACTAGTGATTAGATAGAACTAGTGATTAGCTGACTAATATTTAGTTAACTAGTAATTAGTTCAGCCCTGTTTGATCCTATTTAGTTAACTAGTAATTAGTTTAGCCCTGATTGATCCTTGGCTAATAGCTACCATCTCAGCACAAAGGGCTGCTTCAACTTATCAGCTAGCAACAAATCAGCTTCAGCGGACCAGCTTTAAGCCCAAAGTCATTTATACCCCTGGCAGTTCAACTAACCATGCGAAGTCCACCTCACGCTAGATGTTGCTTGCTCGCCGTTTTTTTTTTCGATTTTGTGTGCGCGCTCACCGAAGTTGATTATAAAATTTTTGTATTAAAATATTGTGGACAACAAATAAGTCTCAATTAAAATAACGTTCGTTCCAGAAGTACAAATAGTTCATACAAATAATTGACCGGAGGTACCACCGAATCGGTCTGAGAAAAAAAATCGAATCTCGCCTCTGGATCCATTGACAGATCAACCTGACAGAAAACAAATCATTGTTTGCTGTTCCATCCAAGTACAGAAAAATCGAATCATTGTTTGCTGATCCATCGACCCAAGCGCGATGGCCAAGTACAGAAGAAAAAAATTAGGTCTCGCCGAGAAGGGGTACCTCGTCGCGGCCACGAGGCGGAGCACGCCATCCCACTTGGGGGCCGGTGCAGGCTGCTCGCCGTCGGCGTCGAGTCAGAGGGGAACTTGGCGGAGGCAGGCTGGCCATGGGCGCGGCCGAGGCCGCTACGGCCGCGGCGGAGGGGAAGCATGGTGGGGTGCGAGCGATGCAGCGCAGATGTGGAAGAAAGGATGGGGAAGGGTGCGGATGGGTGAGGGGCAGGCGGTGTCCTTTTCTAATCGGTACCAAAAATTAGTCCCTGAAAGCTGGTTTATATGACCAGTAAACTAACAACTACTCAAGGCCTTGACTAGTTATTAGTTCACCCACTAATCTACCTATTTAGATCATTATGAGCTAAACTTTAGCCAACTAATTGTTAGCCATAGATCCGATCCAAACAGTTCCTTAACTATGTAGGACCGCATAATAGTAATAAATAAACTAGCGACCAAGGCACAACGTCTAGCCGGAGCCAGATCATCAACACCACGGCCTTTCGTTTTCCTCTGCATTATTACGTCTTTTGTTCTATCGGTAGTCTTAGCCGGTTGTTGTATTTTGCTTTTTTTTTTTATACAGCAGTGCCCAAAACACACAACACTATTGGTTCGTGGCCATGACACCAAGTTCTAAGGAGCTACCACAACAGTATAAAACGGAATATTGGTTTGCTGAGATTAGGTTTATTACTTTATTTCCTCTTCTCTTGCTACGGAGCAATTGTTCTACTTGTCTTTTCAGCCATATTTTTTCAGTGAGGAACAATGTTTTTCTCTCATACCAAATCAGCCAACGGTACTTTTCAGCTTTTAGCGAACAGGGCCTACGTACTCGATGTTCCATTTTAAACATTTTATAAACTGGGTTTTCTTTAATCCCTTTGGAGGCGTGGGCCGGGCGTGAACAGGGTCGTGGCGGCGCTGGCTTCACCTGGGTCCAGGAGCATGGCGGTTCGGCGCTGCTGGTGCTGCCGTGCTCGCACGGTGGTGATGTGGCCCGGCAGGTGCTAGGCCCACTGGGTGCGTGGCGGCGGAGCTCTGCGTCGACACCATCAAGGCGCATGCGAGGGTGCTGGGCCTGGGCAGGCCGTGCGCTGTACACTTGCGATTTCTCTGTTACGTCACGGCTTCTAATTTCCTTGCAATGCTGAGCAGCCCGATTGTCGTCAGCCCACCAGTGACCGGAGTGGAGAGTAGAGAATTAGGGAGTGGGCTCTTCTCTTTCCTTCTTGATTTTTTTTTCTTTATTAGGTCCATGTCAGTACACTGCTATAGACCAAAAAGGTCATTCAAACTCGACGATCCAATTCAAAAATTCTATAGAAATGCTACCTACAAAAACCCTGGTTATATCTCTTTATCATTCATCTACGCAATAGCAATGTCCAATTGAAGAGTGCCCACAACAACCCAACAATCTCAAACAGCAAGCACATTTATTTACCATCTTGGTCGACTAAGAACATCTCCGTTGTCGCGGCTTGCCCCCCCCCCATCGGACGGCTGGCCGTGCCTTCCTCATTCCTCTTGCATTGGCTACCTTACTCTATTTCATCACTATTTCTCTATCAATCTTGGAGCGCCGGTCATCTTCGAGCACAAAGATGAGGGACAGCCTAGATATGTTGCCATACTCTGGCTAGCACTCTCCGGCTTGCCACGAGCTTGCCAGGCTTCAAATCGAGCAAATCCTCGACGCTATCTCACATGGTACGCCCACCTGAATACACTTTCCAGATGGATAGTGTATCCAGGTGGGCGCGCCATGCTAGATAGCGTCGAGTTGAGCCCCGGTAAACTTACGGCAAACCGTAGAGTGGTTGCCGAGTATGGGAACATTGTCCGGGCCCTTGCTCGTATTTGTGCTAGAAGAGCTCCAGCGCTCCAAGACTGATAAAGGCCCAAAGACAGAGAGGTGATGCTGGTAGGTCTTGGACCAGGACTCGATGTGGATTAGGCCATGGTGGAAGTAGCAGTAGACGACATAGGCCTTGTTCGGCTGACCTTGAATCCGGCTCGATCCGCTTCTTTTTTCATCCGGAACAGTGTTTTTTTCTCACAGAAATTCAGCAGCTACAGTGTTTTTCAGCCGGTACAGTAACTTTTTTGGGTCAGCCGAACATGGCCTATAATCATTGTAGGACACAGTTAGGTGGGATCACCGTCCCGATTAACTTAACAGGACCGGTGATGATGCCGGCCCGCTAGGGCGGCGCTCCGGCCGATGAATCTCGTGGATGTGGAAGGCAATTGCCATGGGCTTCAAAGGAGAAAGAGCATGATGCTACTCAGATGGTCTAGCTCTAGCCGTGTGAGGAGATGAGAGATGCGGCTCCGATGCAGCATATTTATAGTGACTGAGGCTGGACTCTCGTCAGCTTCTGTGCACGCTCTTTCTCTCTGTAACCTAACCATCCTACATGGCTACATGTTCAGTCTCAGGTTTCTCACTTTCATTTGCTACACGCGTACTGTGGCTGCTAAAAATAAAATGTGAACTGATTAATTGGTGGTTGAATTAAAAAAAAAAATAGGCAAGTCTTGCGAAGGTGTTCCCATCGAAATATTGGTTGACGATGCTGATCTGTCTCGTAGGAAAGCTTGCAGTCCTTTGTTTGTTGTGGACACATGTGCGTCAGCCATGACGACCTTGCAGAATAATGGATGCTCAAGTGGGACCTTCAGCTCCTAACCGTTATCTACTCGATCGGTGGGTAACAATGCAAGCTAAAAAAAAAGTTGTTACTCACTGCCCATAAGTCTATACATGGCCAACCGAACCGCACGGCACTGGCACTGGCACTAGCACGGGCACGGCACTATGCGGCACGACAGCTTAGCCATGCCGACGTTACAACCCAGGCACGACACTATGGGAGGCTAGCCGTGCTGCTAGGCACGGCAGCTCGCGCATGCCCGCTGCCGGCCCTAGCCTGCCACGCCGCCGTGCGTCTTCGTCGGGCCAAGTAGCCGTGCGCCCTGCGACGTTATTGTGTGCTCGTCAGCCAGTGTCATCACTGCGCGCCCGTCACGCCGCTGCACCACGTAGTCACCCGCCCGCAACGCCGCCACGCCACACCGCAGACCTCGCACCGACGTCATCACCCAGGCCACCGCTGTAGATCTCGTCGACCTGGGGAGCAAAGGGGGCGCTGAGCAGGGCAGACTGGGGTGGTGGGGTGGCGGTGGCCGGGGTTGAGGGAGGTGAGGGTGGAGGGGGCAGCACCGCTCGGGAGGTGCGAGGTCGCGTGGAGATGCCGCAGGGGAAACAGGGAGGAGCGGCGGCCTAGGGAGCGAGCGGCATGCTAAGGAAATGAGAGGGAACAAGAGAGAGGAGGAAGTTAGGATTTGGGGAGGGAGAGATGCTTATATACTGATATCTAACGGCTATGGTCCATCAGTGCCCATCTAACGGTGGAGAATAAGCGGGCCACATCGTGCCAGCCCAATAATCGTGCCGTGCTCGGGCCGGCACTGCGGGGCGGAGTTGTGGCCCAGGCACGACACTACCACCGCGCCGTGCTAGGCACGAGCACGATGGGCGTCGGACCGTGCCGTGCTTTTTAGTGTCTTGCCTAGGGCCGGTCCTGAATTTTTAGGGGCCTAGGCGAAACAAAAATTGGAGCCCTTATGTACACATGAACCATGGAACTCTTTTGGGTATTCGAGAAAAAAACACATGAACGACGTTGTAGCCACCATAACGCACGACTTCAGCAAGGAGATGTTGCGATGGAAGCGTATGTTTTAAGTGTTTCAGATGTTTCAGAGGTACGTTGCAATTATTTTATATGGATGTTGCAAAAGTAGATTAGGGATGTTGCACATATTGCAAGTGTTTCAGAGGTATATTATAATTGTTTCATATGGATGTTGCAAAAGTAGATCAGGGATGTTGCACATATTACAAGTGTTTCAGAGGCATGTTGCAAGTGTTTCAGAGGTGTTGTTCAAAATGTTTCATTTGTTCCAGACTTATGTTGCAAGCGTTCTGATCTGGATGTTGCACAAGTTTCACACATATGTTGCAAGAATATGTTCGAAATGTTTTAGCTGTTTCAGTCTTATGTTGCAGTGCATGTTTTCATGGTGGCAAGTTACAAGTGTTTAATCTGATGTTGCATATGTTTTACACGTATGTTGCAAGTGTATGTTTTAAATGTTTTATCCATTTCATGTGGATGTTGCATTCAAATGTTTCATGTTGCATGTGTTTCATACTGTTTGGAGAGTCAACAGGCGCAGGGAGTGATGGTGGCACGGCACGGGTGCCGGAGAATGGGCCACGGCGAGCTGGAGTCCGGCGGTCAGGGCGCGACGGGGGCAGGGTGCGCGTGCGGGACGAGGCGGGCGGCTTCAAATCTAGGCGGATAGGGCGTGCTGTGGGGGCGAGGCGAGTCGTTTGGACGCGTGGGCGTTGCGACAGGGCGGGTGCGCGTGTGGGGCGGGAATAAAAATCTGCATTAGCGCACGGGGGTAGGCTGCGCTGGCGTCCTGTCCGGACGTCCGGGCGCTAGCATAGCCCGTTGCGGGTGGTTTGGGGGACTTCGGATATTAGTGCATACCTAGTTCATACGAAGCTACGTACGCCTCGTTGGAGTCTCACTCCAAGTTGGCCGCCCGCCGCGGTGCCGCCGTTGAGTTGGGTGATCGCGTCGCAGTTGTTGCGTTGTGTTCGGGATTTGTGATTTGGTTTCGAGATGAGAAATCGTAGTCTTAGAGTCGACAAACAAATCACGAACGCCAATCTGCTAGGCCGCCGTGGGCCTTAACGATCCAACCAAGCCATATGCTGATACTGCTATGTACTGAGTGTATACCTAGGGTGGGGCCCGTGGGATTGAGGGCCAGGGCAGCTGCCCCGCTTGCCCGCCCTCAGGGCCGGCCGTGCGTGCCAGTGCCGGCCCAGCGGGCCTGTCCCATTTGACGTCGAACGAGCCGTGGCCATGTGGGGAAAATGCGTCAGCAAGGGTTCTGCATCTTGGGGTGAAGAGAGATGGTGCTGCTTGAGAGGTAGAAGAAGACCTCAGGAGAGAGAAACTTGCTCATAATCGAGACTGAAGAAAGGCACATTTAGGCGGGCGTCCCCAACAAGGCCTTCCTAGCTAGCTATTTGCCTACGTAGAGGATCGAGAAGGTTCAAAAATCTGCTACGTAGAGGATCGAGAAGGTTCAAAAATCTGCTAGTTAGCGATGAGCTCGTCGCCTGTCTCGCTCAGTTTCTAATGGATCCCGTGTCTCTGCCTTGCATGACCCGCTTCCCTCTGTACCATGCGGGTGGCAATTTTTTTCTTTTTTATTTGCACCCAGCTAACGATTTCGTATTGATCGTTGAGGACACCTTTATATTGTATTCGTTAAAGTGGTGTACCGTATACGTACAATACACTATACCTACAGCATGATAAAAGCCAATAGCGTGGAGTAGTGAAGTCTCATGGGTGCATATTTCCCGAGGAGGCACATACAGGCGGAAAAATTGCAATGTCTTGCAGCATCTACATGTTTTTTTTTTACAACAAACGATTTTATTTCAACAGCATCTTGCTGATAGTAACGTTACATAGTTCAGGTGTACAGATTGCAATGCCTGCATGAATGGGCATTGGTTTACATGATGGCTGTAGCAACAGGAGGACTCTAAATTTAAAATCTATGAATCAGAGTCTGTGAGAGCCTGCCTAGCTAATGCATCTGCCGTAGTGTTGAGGCTCCTACTAATCTTGAAGATCTTTGATTGTCTACTGGTTGAGAGGTTTTGGAGAATAGCTGTTTAAAGCATTTGATTCTCCAGTCAGGTGGGTTGGTCTGATCTGCAGAATTAAGGAAGTGAACCAGTTGTTCACAGTCTGATAAGAAGTTGACATTGTGTAGGTTCATGCAGTGAGTGGCAGTCGCTGCTAAGGCTAGCGCCGCAGCTTCGGCCATGAGCTGCGCCGCAGCTTCGGCCATGAGCCCATGAGCACTGTCAATTTCGCCTTGATGTAGATGGTCTGTGTCGGCTGCACCTGCATGTTAACAATGAAAACTCCAAGTCCAGCCTCTCTTGGCATCGTAGATAGTTGATCAGAAAGCGTGGATGCGTCAGCATAGCATCGAATGCCTTGGAGCAGTGCTGGGGTGTTGATCATGTACCTGTTCGTCATCAGAGGTTGATTCCCTGTTAATAAGGTATTCATACCTGTTGGGCCGGTTTGTCTGGTGGCTGTGAGGCGACCCTGATTTAGTGAAGGCACCGTGTGGTTGATCGTCCCTTGGAAGGCTGTGTCAGTACCTGCAATGGGAGTGGCCATACCTTGCGGTAGATGGTTGTTGTGATCAGCTTGCTGAGTGTGGTCAGGGCCAGTTGCAGGTAGCTGAGATCGTTGTTCCGCCAGCCAAGTAGTTTGGGCCGCTGTGGTGTTTGGTTCTGCAATCTGTGCTTGCTGTAGAGTGGTGATGTGCGCAGCAACCGCCTGATGAACCTGCCAAGGACTCCAGGTTTTTCTTTGAAAGCGATTATCATTTCTCGCCTTCCAGAGATACCACATAGTGATTAAGATATTGTGGAACAAAGGGTCAGATGTTGAATTAGAAATAAAAGGTTGAAGAGTTAATTGCACTCCATCATGTTCCTGTGGAAGGGTGTCAGTTCTGAGAGAAGGATCAGCAGAAAACCATACTGCTCGAGGTAGGTTGCAGTGGAAGAAGAGGTGAGCGTCATCTTCCACTGCACTACAAGAAGTACAATGTTTGTCAATGTGGGTGGAATTGTTAGTTGATCTCCACAAATAGGCCTATTGGGCCCTTGGATCTGCGCCCTGATCGAGGGCGCCCAACCCTAATGTGGTTGGTGAGTCCCTGTCGTACAGCACTATAAATAGAGGAGTGGGGAACTGGGCTTGACTAACGAAG